AAATATCTCGACTTGTATTCAAGACAAATGGATATTTTTTACATCCAAATAAAGACAAGTGAACAAGCTTTAAGAGACACCAATAGCTCTACATGCCCAAAAATTGACGAGAGCCTGATTCCACAACGCTGCCTCACATATGGTGTGCCTGTCAAAAAATCCAGGACCCATACTGCAAAATAATGACAAAAATTGACTCAATTTTTAAATGACAATATGCGGTTGAATTGCATTGAATACTGAGGAAAAATCAACAAAAAGTACCCTCGTATACAATGATTTTTTCCTCAGCATTCAATATAATTCAACCGCATACTGTATTTGAAAAAAAACTAGCTGGCTCTCGCAAAGTAACATTACTACATCAAACGTTTGATAGCAGTGTTTCGTATCAAATCCCACTAGAATTTGACGCCGATAAAGATTCTGAAGTGAGATTTGCAAAATTTTTACTTTGATACCCTTTTATCTTTAGCGTCGAATACCCTGATCTCCGATCCGACAGATAATTTTCAGGCCCGTTCTGAATTCAAGCGATCTCACGGTTTGTTGAGATTTTGAACTGAGCTGTCCGGATTTTGGTCTTGAGATCATTTTGAGATCATCTCGAGATCGCATTCAGTTTGTCTTGAGACCATCTCTAGACAGGCGCACCCTTTTAACTGCGGAGTGAGTGGCGAGATCAAGAGGAAGAGAGAGTAGGAGTGACTGAATGGTCTGGTGAATGAGTGAGTGAGTTTTGTTTGTTTTGTAAGTGTTTCACGGCGCTCTTAACTGCATAAGGTCAAATGAACGCGCACGACACATTCAACATTTTTAGTGAGGTAGGAAATTTTGAATTTTGCCTGGGTGGGGGCCGAAGCCTACTCTTATCGATTTTAGACTTTTGACGTGATCTTAACGTGCGCAACTTGCTCATGGGACCTCAGAGATTTTTTGGCCTTGTCCGAGACGGTTAGGTGTAGATCTTTCCTACCAGAAGATCAGGGGTGTCGCTGAAAGACAGCAGTAAGAAGGAAACAAGGAAAAATAGTAGGAAGGCTGCAGAAAGAGTCAGGAGACCATAGGAGGGGCAAAGGAGGTGAGGGAGTGGGGGCAGAAAGTGGAGACGAAAGCAGACGATAGAAAATTGCGAGAGGACAGGAAAGGAGGTGAAAGGAGACAATTTAAGAGAAGAACATGTTCCGTCGCTACCCGGAATCGAACCTGGGACCTTTGAATGAGAGGTGAACACCTTAACTCTATCTGTACGTTGTGTTTTACTATCGTATCCATATGACGTGGGGGGAACTCTGTGCTACCACTTTCCAAAGAGAAAATTTACTCGTTAATCGATCCAAAATGATTTTTGGTGAAATACTGAAAGTTTCAAAGAGATCTTCGCACTAGAAGTATTCTAAAATGTGAAGCATACAACCCCGGGGGTACAAAATGACCCCGGGCGTACGGATAGGGTTAACCTCAAGGTCACAAGAGCCTCCTAGTGAGTGGGTGAGTGGTGGAAGGCGTGAGTAGTGAGTGCTCGAGAGACCAGGGGAATAAGGAATCCAGGAGGCTGTGTGGGAGAGTGGGAGTGCTTGCAAACTTTCAAGCCAGCAGATAAAGAAGTGAGTGAGTAAGGGAGGGGGTAACTGAAACAGCGAGGAAGTGAGTGAATGAGTGAATGAATGAGTGAGTGAGTGAGTGAGTAAGTGAGTGAGTGAGTGAGTGAGTGAGTGAGGGTGTCAGTCAGTCAGTGAGTGAGTAAATAAATGGGTCACTGACAGTAACATAACTTTAAACAAGATCTTTGTACGCTATTCTTTTCCCCCGTTCCACCTCTTTTCTTCAGAAATACTCCTAAGTCCCCCCCCCCTTCCCACCCCGAATTCCCGTCTCCTCTTAAATGCTCCGAAGTTTTGCCATTTCGCTAGAAAATGATTGCATAGATTGTACCAGGACCCAATATCTGGCTTATCGATGCAAGCGATGAACGGATGAACACACTCTGCGACTCACGTCCTAAGAGCAAACAATATCAGCAGATATCATTTGGCACGTAATCTCGTGTATTTTTCCCCTGGAACTGTCTGTTTGTTTGTACTACGAGGGGCCAATTGATGATGGAGAGAAAAACCAACAACCCCGAAATATGCAAAGCAGTTAATTTCATGATGGACTGATTGGGGCTTTGGAGCAAAGATACATAATTGTATGAATGGCCAGGGGAAAGAAGAGGGAAGGGCAACAAGTGGGAGAAAGTGAGAGAAACTGAACGAGGATAAATGAAAGAAGAAAAATGAAGGAGTGAAACAGAAATACAAACACACACATACATACATACATACATACATACATACATACATACATACATACATACATACA